TTAACATCCATTTGATGAATTTTCCAATTATTTTAAGCTGATAGAGAGATAAGCATACGAATTGTATCTAATCTCACCACAGGAACAAATACCTCAAAATAATCAATACCTAGCTTTTGTTTGTATCTTTTTGCTAATAACCTCACTTTGAAGTAGTCAATTTCTACACTGGGTTTGTACTTAATTTTGTATACCCACTTTACTCCAATTGGCCTTTTGTTTGTTGGTAAGTCTGTCAGCTCCCATGTTTGATTCTTCTCAATGGCATGGATTTCTTCATCTATTGCTTTTATCCAATGTTGATTATTTGAAGCTTCTTCAAATGTTACAGGCTCACAATCTACAAATAAGGAAAAATTGATAATTTCTTCATCAGATGGGTCATTGTCATTACCCACAACATAATCCTCCAATCTGGCTGGTGGTCTCCGATGCCTTTGTGGTCTGCTTGATGTTTCTGTCTCATCAGGTGTTGGACCTACATGTTCGTTCTCCTCTTCATAATTTTCTGGAATTATTGTAGTATCCTTTTGGGCTTTGGAAGACCAATCTCATATTCCTTCTTCATCAAAGGTCACACATCTTTGCTGATAATTACTTTCTTTGTCATTGGATTGCAAAGCTTGTACGCCTTTGAGTTGGTGCTGTAACCAATGAAGGTGCACTTCTCTCCTTTGTCATTGAGCTTCTTTCTGAGTTGATCTGGTACATGGGCATATGCTATACACCCAAAAACTTTGAGATGCTGGATTGAGGGCTTCCTTCCACTCCAAGCTTCTTCTGGTGTTTTATCACAAACACTCTTTGTTGGACATCTGTTCAAAATACACAACAGTAGAAACTGCTTCTGCCCAAAATTCTCTAGGCGGTTGTTTTGCCTTCAACATGCATCTTACCATGTCCATGATTGTCCTGTTCTTTCTTTCTGCTACTCCATTTTGTTGGGGAGTGTATCTGGTTGTCAATTGATGCTGAATTCTATGTTGATCAAAGAGATCTGCACAAGCGAGATATTCTTGGCCTCTATCTGTCCTTAATGCTTTAATTCTACAGCCACTTTGTTTCTCCACAAATGCCTTAAAGGCATCACAAGCTTTTGATTTCTATTTCAAAAATACACCCAAGCTTTTTTGCTAAAGTTATCAATAAAAGTAATAAAATACCTGCTACCGCCATGAGTTGGTGTCTCAACCATGCATAAATCTGAATGGACAATTTCCAATAGCTTTCTTGCTCTCCAGGACTTTCTAGTTGGAAAGGATTCTCTGTATTTCTTTCCAATTTCACATGTCTCACATATACCTTCAGGAATATTTATAACAGGCAAACCAGATACATATTCTTTTCTAGATAAAAAATTTAATCTAGAAAAGTGATAATGTCCAAAGCGCATGTGCCATAACCAGTCAACATTTTGTATAATGGAACTCAGGCAAGGAATTTTATTATGTTGAAACTTCAAAGGAAATAGGCGATTAAAAGTCATTTTTACCTTGGCAATGAATCTCTCATTTTTATCAATCAACGTACAGTAGCCATCACTAATCTTCATGTTGTAGCCTTTCTCTGATAATTGTCCCATGCTCAACAAATTGTGATGAAGACCAGGGGCACAAAAGACATCAGAGATGAAATTTTGAGAACCATCCTTTAATTTGATAGCAATTTGGCCTTTTCCCAAAATAGGAATATTTGAATTATTTTTGAATTTTAGGTAGATTTTACCGTTTCATCTAGTAAAGAAAATAACTCCTTTTTCCCACACATGTGGTTGCTGCAGTTTGTATCTAAGTACCAGATATTTCCATTACCTGCAAAATTATTTGCTGCTAGAAGTAAAGTTTGGGGATTATCAGAACTCTCACCAGCATATTGATATTAATTTTCTGCTATATCTGCTTTTTGTTTGTATCTACAATCTGCAGCTTTTTGTCCAAACTTTCTACAGTAGTAGTAGTTAAAGTTTGTCCTCTCTTGGTGGTTGAAGCCTCTTCTTCCACGGTTGGCAGATCTGAAATTGTGTTCACCTCTCCTTTTATTAGATGTCCTGAAATTGTTGTCTCTCCATTGTTGATTAAAATTACAACAACCTCTTCCTCTGAAGATACCACGTCCTCTACTTCTAAAATTTATATTTCCACCTTCACGACCTCTACTATCTTCACTTTGGTTGGATTCTGCTACGTTGGTAAAATTCACCTGTCTCTTCAAAGCTTCTTTATTTACCTTTTCTGTTTTCTCCAAAAATCTGCTCACATGGCTTTCAATGCTACCTTGCAACTCTGCAACTGTCATGGTGTCAGTGTCATGGGACTTAATTATTGTAGTCACCACATGATCGAACTTTATTGGCATGATGCGTAAAATTTTCTCCACCACCTCGCTCTTAGGGATGTCTTCTCCATACACCCTCGTCTTATCGACAAGTCTGTTACCTGTGAAAAATATTGTTCCACAGTTTCTGAATTGGACATCTCATATCTTTCGTATTCTTGACGCATGGATTGCAGTTTGGATTTCTGAGCTTTCTCTACTCCTTTGTATGACAGCTTCAAAATGTCTCACGCTTCTTTGGCTGTTTTGGCATTTGCTATTTTGCCAAAAATTGAATAATCTACACCTTGGTGAATTTGTGATAGCGCCAAGTGGTCCTTTCTTTGGACTGCATCCTTAGCTCCTTGTTGTAAGCCTGGTTCAATAAAGCTTCAAATATTGTGAGCTTTCAAATGGGTGGACATCAACAATGCCCAATAATTGTAATATAGTTTCCCATCTAATTTGGGACCAGACTAAACAATATTGTAGTTTGTGCCTATCTTTCTCTCTCAAATAGATTCTAAACTTTTTGATAAAGTGGGGACTCTCTTGTTCCTTACACACTCAAACCTTTTGACACAAACTCTCTTACAAACTCACAAAACCAATATTGGATCTAACTAGCTCTGATACCAATTTGTTGTCAAGAAAACATAATAATACTAAAATTTGTGCACACAAAATTAAAAGGAAGAGAATATGAATTTCAATCAATGGATTTTTGGAACAAACACTTAATATTTTGCCATGTACTGGAGTTGCCTTTTATAAGCTACAATCTATAATATAATAATACTAAATGTTTCTTAATCATGAAGAAAACAGAAATTACACCATGTGATTTGTTTGCAGCCTTTATCAATTTGAATTTTTTTCACAATCAGTACCTATTTTACTGCTACCTTTTACCAGGCCAATGAAATTGAATAGCTTTGTGATAAGGTAAGATTTGGTCCAATAAAAACTTGCGGTGCATACTTAATTTATTTCTAACATTAAGGATAAGTCATGATAAGAGAAGAAAAATAATATAAAAATTAAATAAAATTTATTCCATAAATTAAAAATAAATTATCTCTTTAAATTTTAGAAAAATTAAATAACATTAATTTCTAAAAAAATAGAGAAATATTAATTAATTTTAACTCATGAAAAGAATTTAATTATTTTTTTCCCTTAGAAGTACTTATCCACAAGCTTATTAAAAGAACCCCTTATCCCAACTTTTCATTACATTAAAGATAAAAAGACTCTGCATTTTGATTTAACGGCATCATTAGTATGAGAGATATATGATCTAATAATGGAACAATAATTATTTCTCTGAAATATGTTATATCGAAAAAATGAAATTTATTTAAAGTGATTTTTCAGTGAAATCTTAATAAATATGTCAAGCCATATTTCGCCCTTTAACGTATGTGTAGTTATTACCGAGCAATGAACTGAACAAATCCGTGATTTTGAGTTGAATAGACAATGGAATTGCGAATGAGATCGGAAGAGGAGGAATTAGGGATCGTAGATGAAGTGTTGGTGAAATTTTAGTATAGATTTTCTAATAGTAGATCAGACATAATGGTTCAATTTTGGAGAAGATAAAAAGAATTTTTGCGTGTTTATGTGTCATTTCAAATTTTTGTTCTTTTTAGTTCAACAAAATTCCTTGTTTAAATTACAAACAAGAAATTTTAATGTACAACATTTAAAATTTCTTCTTCTTGTCCTGTATTATGTTGGGCCTTAGCCTGTAGGGCCCTCCTTTATTACACTCTCCTTAATCGTAGTCTCCTTCCCATTTTTGACATGGACTCAACCTTTCTCCTCACCACTTCTTTTTCTTGTTGGGCTTGAAAAAAAACTTGAACCTGTGTTGGTTCAAAACATCTCCAACATTATGTGCCCTTTCTCAAGACCTTTTTCCATCGCTCGAGCTAAATTCATCAACTGAGAACGTGGAATGGGACCCAATGCCTAGGGACTACAAATATGATTGCAGATTTCTTCTTGCAACTGGTGAAACTGGTTATTGGGCAATATCTTCTTCACCTGTGCTGTAAGCCGCTCAAACTCGTGTGTATACTCATCAACACTTCCCTTCCATTGTAGCGCCGATACTTGTTCGTAAATATCTCCATCTCGTATACTTCCGTACTGCTCCATCAACTCCATTTTGAATTGCTCCCATATCAAATCTCCATCGTCATCCAACAGGGAAATAAAAAAATGGATGGTAGAACCTTCCCTGCAAAGTTGGGCTAAATTGATGTGCAAATCTTGATGGGTTTCTTGCACTCGGAAATAAAGATAAAATGATAATTTTGTAACTTATTTAGTAAACATAATAGAATGTAAAAGTTAGATAAAATAGGATAGGATAAGAATATACATCTTTTAATCTGATAATCTTATTCTACGATTAATGCATACTAAAATCTCAAATTAGATAATATTATGTTATCTATTTATTTTTATCCAAGCATATCATAAATTATTAGTTAGATAAACAGTAAAAATAAGATAGTATAAAAAAGTTATCCTTTTGTTGTTATTACCAACAATCGGAGTCTTAAAGAGTCTAACTTTGATACGCCCAGCAATTAATCCCTATTTATACAGAGCTAACTTTCCCGGCATAAATAGATGAGTAAAGGACAACATAAGCGAAGCTCGCAAAAGCAAGGCAGCAAGAATTGGTTTAACATTAAATTAAGAAAATAAAGTAATATTTTCTGCCACATTTACAAAAGAGCCAAAAAACTGCTAAATCTATAGCTTTTATTAAGCCTTGATGAATGTCAAAGGAAAGCGAAACTATAAGAAACCACTAGAGGGGTAAAAGACAAATCTATGCCACAATTTTCTTTTTCCTATACTTTTTCATATACTTTGACTAAAATTACAGCTTGGGTTTAACTGTGAGGTTCCCGCTGATGAGGGGATGGGTTAGTACTTCCTTGCGGAGAAACAATACTTGTCATCACGATCTGAATAAATCCTAATTCATGAATTTCCGGCAATTCGGAGCGTTACATAAACAAGGGACTTTAAATTCATCAGGTTCATCAGGATCAAACAAATAGTCATACCTGCCAGTTACAATCAACATAAGTTTAAAAAGGAATTTAATAAAAGAAAAGAGAAGAGCTAGTAACATAATTCTAATAACTCTCTGGTATTGGTTAAAATTTACGTGGGTTCCATCAAAACGGAGAGTTGGACATTGAGACCCACGTCATCTAGTGAGACCAATATGGATTATAGTGTGTTGCATAATATGTTTGTGTATTGCTAGTATTTCTAGCATGCTGAAATGCACATGCACACATGAACATATGCAGCACAAGTGAGAAATACAAACGGGGATATACGTTAGCTCATCGCCAGCAGGTACATCAGTCTTAGCAATGAGAGCAATCCGGCTCTCATCATCACCCACACTCATGATCCTTGCATAGCAATTTGGCATACACTGTGTAAACATGAACAAAGAAACTGGTCAGATATCACGACAAATAACCAGTAATGAGGTAACAACCGAACAAGGGAAGCAATAATGCACAAAAATGAATATCAGCAATGTTTGGCTCCTACTGGAGGAAAATGTATCTCCTGCTTTTAAGATTGCTCTCTGAATTTTTGAAGGGAGCAATCTCAAGTTCCAACCAAGAAAACTGTGCAGTGTGTTATCCAGTGAGCTTGGTTGACTTACAGAATGGTTAATTAGCCGCGCTATGTTTCCTTTATCAGTGGCATCTACAACCACTTCTTCACTTATCTTGAAAAGCTGCAAAAATAAAGAAACCAGGACAATTTAATGTGATAAGATACAAACAATTAAGAAGAGCAGAGAAAACCTAACATAAAGAGAAGTCCAATAATGTTTTGGTATTTAAATCTAGTGGTCAAACAAAAGGAACAACACGGGTGGGGCAAAAGGCTCACATAGCAGTCTTTCCCTTCCAATCTATATTGTGCCTCCCTTAGATCTGCAATGCTGCGCCTCACTTGTTCACCCCGATATTCTAGAACCTGTTTGGTTATAAATCGTACTCATTATTATTACAATAAAGGCTGTATTCTGATTTACATGGAAATGAAACACAATGGATGATCATTGAACATAGATTTTATGCTTCGGCAAATATTAAAATCATATTTCATGCCAAAATAGATGTAAAAGAGAATTAATTTTGTCAACATCTAAACCAGAAATCAACACAAAAGGGTATATTCTTAAGACAAAACCAACCCTATAAAAGAAAATATACAAAGCAAAAGAAATGGAAATTAAACTTTGTCAGGCTTTGCAGCATTTCTACATCTCAAATTCATGCAGAACACGAGACAATAAATTATGTCCAAAAGACTTCCAAATTCTCAAATAGGCCAAGATATCATGTGTAATCTTTATAATTTATACCATTTCTCCTTCTTGAATATTTCGACGTGCAAAGAGGCCCCATCCATGTATGCCTGATCTACCAAAGCAAACTCGTTCATTTTCAGTTCTCTGAAATCATGCAAGACAATCAGAAAATTGATCATCGGAACCAATAAAACACTTAAGAAAGAGGGGATTTACCTGTAAATGATAAAGGCGTTCTCTGAAAGAAGAAAATGCCTGGGGCTCTTCTACCACCTGTTTGAGGGAAAGGGATGAGCAAAGAGTGAAATGGGGTGGTGGTGGATGGTGGGGCCTGGACATGTTTAAATCACACATTCAAGCTAAAACTACGAATAGGAAAATCCCATTTAATTTGGAGAAGATAAAGGATTTACTCTGTGTGCACTTAAACTCCGTATTGCATCTAAAGGATGATTGTAGTGACCCCTTACGTGATGAGCAATGGCTTCATCTGCTGTTCTCTACCAAGTAGAAAAGATAAAAAGAGATTTTATTTTTCATCAACTGATAAAGATGCAAAACGACAGACAGTGGTCCAAACAAGGTCTCGGTAGTAAATATAGAAGTAGAGGAATCAAAATAAAAAGCAGTACGCATGACTTTCACCATTGCATCACATACAAGTGAGTCTGCATCCATGCAATAGCCAGCAAGCACATTTGGCAAGGTAACATTAGTTGTTAACAAAATGCATTATATATAGGTAACGTTGATTGACATTGGGTAACAATATCACAAACATTTAATCACAAAAGCACTTTCACTGGAAATACAAGTGATTTTTTAACATCAGCCTATAAGAAAACTATGGAAGAAAGGTTTTCGCTAGGAAAGAAAGCATTAATTGTATTGGAAATATGGAACTCCATTATTTCTTTTTTCTTAATAAAAACTTTCTACTTTTGTTTTCTTAAAATTAGCCTTAAAGAGTAATGTAAACAAAACTAAAACATAAATAGAATAAACAATGTAAAATAGAAATTGGAGAATGTTATTTTGATTAAGCCGAACATTTACCAAGAAAAAACAAAACAAAAATCTGAGCTACCTTTTTTGCATGATTTGTTCTTTGAAAGATACGACACCTAGCAGCAGAGAATGGCTCATGTCCAGTGTTATCTGCAGGAGAAGTGTCTTCAACCTTTATTCTGTTAGCTGAAATTAACCTTGACCCAGCTTTCTTCTTATTTTGGAGAAGGCTTTTGGTTGAAATGACTCCAAGAGGGGTTTGCATAATCAAAACAGTATCTGGATTGGGAGCTCTGCAAAAAAATATAGACATGATTAAGATGAAAAAATGAAATAATGAATTTCAAATAAGCCCATTTTCTATGTGCAATTTTAAAAACAGTGTTTGACAAAAGCTACTGCGGTAAAAGAACCAGTAGAAAGGAATAAAAGTAAAATCATGCAATTTAGGATCCTATACCTGTGGTAAGCACAATAAGAAACCATTTTTGTTGTCTGTTTACCATTCTTCTCCATACAATGCAACTGCATTTACAGGGGACAAAAGTTAAAAACCATTTCATGGATCATAAATTGTCCATAAGAAAAAATGCAACTTGTCAACTTAAAGTAAGCCATGATACAGAATAATATTCAAGATAATGAAGTATATTTTAATGTTGACTATTGGCAATGCTCTGCTTGAAATTAAGCATTTTAATTAAATTAAAAGTTCAAACAAGAAAAGCAAGGCAAAAATCTAATGGTGACTAACTGCAATCAGTCATCAAATTCTATGATAAAAACTAAAATCACATTGCATAAATCAGGATAATAAAATGAATATGACATGAAGTAGGAACCAAGTTAACCCGAGTGAATCCTCACCTCCATGCGATAACCAGCCCGAGATGCACACATGGCATGGAAATAAGTGGAACACTTGCAACATTGTGTGCACGAACCATGAATTTGCTTGCAAATAACACAAATCTGGAATTCAATTAATGCAGGCTTTAGATTGCATTGGCATATATAAGTTACGACCAGACTAAGAGACATCTATATCATTCAAGATACTAGATTTGTTGAGAGAAATAATTAAATCAGATAGATACTGATAATCTTTATAACGTGGTACGAATGAATTCTGTAATGTGGCATAAAATATGGAAAGAATAAATTACACCAATCAGTGATTAATACTATTTAGCTGTGTAAAAATCTTATTTTTTATTTGAAATCAAATGTTAAATACACCATAAAGATATAGTGATGTACTATGCTTTTCCTTAAAAAGAAAACGATATTAAGTACATTTTGAAACAGAGTAAGAAAGGTGGTAACCAATATCCCACCTTCACAAAGGAATTTGACGGAATACTCAAAACACCCAAAGCAGGCTCCATCTTCTCATCACTAGCAAAAGATACTTCAGGTCGAAACCAAGCACAAGTGACATGAACCCATAATGTGTCAACATCAGTTGGCTTTAGAGCACCACCTGAGAGGTCCAATCATATTTCAGAGGATAAGACTATAGACGTTATAACAAAGTAAAGATAAGTGAAAAATAAATTTACCAAAGTTGCTTGCTAGTATCATAAACATAATAGTCAAAAGAGGGGAAGAAAAATAAAACTGAATTATATGCATATACAAGGTTTAGAAAATTGAGTGGGGAAATTGTGCAAAATATAATTCACAAGGCGATGGTGAGTCTATGACTCTATAGCATCATCAAACAAGTAAAAGGATAATTTATATAGAATACATCTCAAATATTATGGAAGACACACCTTTTACTGGACAAAGACAACACTCCCGCTTGATCTCAGGCGTTTCACAAGCTTTACAAACCCATGACGTAAAGTCTCGAACATTTCTTGCTCCATAGCATTCTTGATGAACGGCTATTTGACATCTATAAAATATATAATGCATTCCTATATTAATTGCAATGCAATTCATCATTAAGTGCAAAAAAAAAAAGGAAACGAGAAAGCCTTGCTTGATAGTTAAAGCTTGCAGAAGAAAATAAAGGTTTTATAAACAAACTGTTTCATTGTTCTAACTGATAAGTGATGATGGAAAGGCTGCAAAAATGTTTAGGCAAAGCAAAATGACAGACTGCCGTACATAGAATAAGAACAACATAAGAAAGGGTGCATATTATTGTCAAATGCATTTGACGAAAATACATTTGACAAAAATGCTGGTGGTACCTTTTCCATAATATCATTTCAAGATATTGACATAAATTAAATCCATTGTTAATCGTCCAAACATTTATCTGATACAAAATTTTTAGACCTACGCATTTTAATCCCTATAAATAACTGAAGATGCTTACCGGTTGCAAATGATGATTTTGTTGTAGTCCCAATCTTCAACCCATCTACATACAGCACATCGTTCTGTAGTCCACTTAGCACAAACTGGTTCATACCTCTCTGTCAGAGAAAATAGCAGTACCATTATCATTCAGAAATTCATCTAGAAAACTTACCACATTGTAAAGTTGAACATAATAGGAAGGAGTTGAAAGGTACCTTGCAAAAGAGTAAGCAACTTCTGCTTCTTTTCTTTCAAGGAAGGCCTTTTAGGTTTCACAGAAGCTACAGCATTAGCATGAAACTCAGCCAATTGTAGCATCTGAGATGTCAAAAAGAATTGGATTAGTTTCTTACAATAAAGGCCTTTCCCCCAATAAATCTGCAACATGAATCTTTCTTTTAAGCGTCCCTTATGCTAATCATAAGAGACTAATATTATAAGTTCCTACATATTCTTAATAGGCCAGTATCATAGGCATTTTGACACTGAAGACTTTATAATAAAAATAATATATGAATGTTGATGAACAGTGATATTATAAAATTTAATATGTAAAAAATTTCAATTAACAATACTAATTGGTAAAGTAGAATATAATAAATGTATACAAGAACATCAAACGTCTTGACTAAATTACAAGTCTAGAAAGAGGATGGTTTGGACACTACAATAGTCATTATAAGAGTGTAACCACATAAATAAGTAGCATATTTTCACGGCAAACAAATAAGGAGTAAGGAGTAATATGCACCAAAATAAATAATATAGTGATATACGAACCCATTTTTCCAGTGATAACATGGATGCTTTCACCCGAATACTTGTTCTCCAATTTCTATATTTGGAACCAGTGTGGTGTTCCCATTCGCCAAGTGCTTGTTTCCTATTCTCGCAAAAACCACACTTGCACAAAACTCTAAAGGAAAACATGACCAACAATAAAAAAAAATCATTTCCTCCATATCACAACCAAAAAGAAGAAACAGATTATTTAGACATGATCACCATGTCCCATTAAAAACTAACATCAAATATCAGTAAATTTAAAACATGGCAGTGTTTAATTATTTAGGCATCTCTCAAATTTTACTTTACCCCCATCAGATCAACACAAAAAAGCCCAGACAACAAAAGCCACTAATATTTCCTACAAGCTCACATTCATGGAACATGTTAGGATTCAGAGACAGAATTCAGGAAGAATTAAAGAAGAAAAAGAACTTTTATTAATTATTTGAAGAAGGGATTACAAGAATCCCCCAGAGCGACAGCTCCTCCCAGAGAATGAAATTCTCCCTTCTCTTATTCCAAAGCCATCCCCTAATAACCAAAACTGACTGCTTAAATAAAGAATAGCTAAACTAATCTAATCCTTATCTCTTCTAACAAACTATCCCAAGCTTATCTTATTCAAAATCCCAACTAACTTCCTATTAAGCCCTTGTTACTGATTATTGGCTTTCTTCTTATGGGAATAAACCCGCCAAACAGTAGGCATCATCGGACTAGCATCCAAGAGGCCTTTATTGCGGGTTTGAGTCCCATCAGAACATACACAAGATCATGTGTAAAACTGCAAACTGTCATCATCAATTTTCATTTATTGGAGTCAGGGTCCTAAATTTCATATTCTGAATGCGGAATTTTCATGAATTAGAATTGAAGAAAAGCATATAAAAAAATAAAATAAAATTGGGAATCAAAGCTAAACATGTCTAACTAATAATCCATTTAAGTTGATATGGAATTTGACTTGTATACTTAAACATATTGTTTGGCATGAGTGTGGGTGGAAACTTGGCCAGTATTCAAATTAATGAAAATTAGGATTCCTTCCACTAGAGCAAGATAAAATATTCTTTCAGCATAGCTTTTCAGTTAGCCATCAGGCTGCTAATCACAGGGAACTTAAGCAAAAGAACTTAAGCACCGATGTTATTAAATTTCTCGTCAGTATTTTTTTTTTCTGTTAAATAGAAAAGCCTCATAAAGAACTAATGTCACCTTCTCCCTCCTTATTAAGAAAAAAATAATCAGCGTAAGACAGGCAAGTGATTGGATGTTTTAATTACCAATCTAGAAAAAGTATTAATCTATTCAACTTGCTACACCATTTTAAATATAAATGGTGATAACTGGTAAGTAATAAATAACTATAGTTACTAGAGAGCAATGATGATAGGTACAAAAAATTATATAAAATACTTCTGAAGGAGTTCATGCTTACAAGTGAAGGCTTGGAAAATATATGCCTTCCACACCATTGCAGAGAACAGTGACCTTGTTCGGAAGCAATAGTTTCCCCCTGCTTTCATTCAATCTATATCAACACTATAGTCAGTAATAATAATCCCAAGAATAAAAACGACAGTTTTAAGAAATCTAATAAAAATATGATAAATTGGTATATGAACTTGAATCCTAAAATTACAAAGAACTTACTAAGTTAAGCTACAAATAGGCACAGAGAAAAAGAACCGCATAACTTACTTCACTTTTGACTGTGATTTTTCTGAATCGGATAACTCAAAATCAAACTTCACTTTGCATGTAGGGCAGAAATAATCAGTGCCTCCCAGAGTCTTCAAAAAAAAAATATCTCAATCAGAAGAAAACAAAATGTCTTTACTGAGCTTTGAATGTGGAGAAGGGATAACATTTAGATGCAAGAGTAATGGATAAACCTTGAAAAGTTTGCCGTAAATTTTGTCGCATTCTGCATGCACCCATACTTTACATCCATCGCAGCAAGCCTAATTCAAAGAGAATAACCCAAAAGGGGAAACAAAATCAATACTAAAAAAATAAAAGTTGACATGAAAACAACATAACCTTAAGTAGCTGACAGGATCAAACTAACTCACCCAACTTCCGCTATCCGAATGATTCCAAATTTTCTTGCATATGCCACAATAATATTTTGATTTCGGTAACTGTCCAAAGGGAAATCGATTTCAAAGACAACAAAATATAAATTTTTAAAGAAATAGAGTAATTCAGTTATGTTTCCACAACAGACTTAAGTATAAACTGTAGGCAATTTGCACAAACCCTAGCACATGTTTTACATAGGAATTCACTGCCAGGAATCAAATCTTTCGTTTTCTTTGACATTTTGAAAGGAAGCTCCAATCCGCATACTTCACAAGGTCGCATGTCTTTCTTCTTATCAAATAAATTCTACACATGGAATCCAAACCAATAAACAATTAGTTTAACTTGTCCAAATGTCAGTTGGCGTCCTCACTTCTGCATTTTAGAGTAGTATGGAGTATGGACAATGGCATAACAATAATTACAACAGCAAAGTAAAATAAATCAGTATGTCAAATCTATAAGTCAGTATCAGGCCTACCAATCAGGAAAGAAAGTGCCGCAGTGAAATTTCAGAAGTGAATTTAAGTTCAAAATTATCAACTTTCCTTAATTATCTTCTAAACATGACACATGAGTACATTAATAGCCATGCAGATCTCCAAATGATGAAACAAATATATTAGCTGAATTATTGTTTACCTGATTCAGAAAGCGACATGCTGCATTTTGGTTTGAACCAGTGACCTCCTGAAAGCCTTTCGGAATCAAATTACCGCAACCAGCGTTACCAGCTGCAGTGTTAATATCTGTTATCAACTTCTCTGTAAAGCCCTGATCTGCCAAAAATGCCTCCTCTATTGCCGCTTGAAACTCAGCAGGATTACAGCAACTCAATTCAGACTGTCCCTGAAACCTAATTCAAGTAATATAACTCATAGTAAGCTGAAAGCACAAATTCTTCAGGAAAGAAAAGTAAGAACTATAATCCTAGACAACATAAACAGAAAGACAACCAGCAACTGTGCACCTGTCTACATGATCAATGAATGGAAAAATCATCCCATACTTGACCCATGCATAGTCCTGCCCAGTATCACAAAACAAACGTCATTAACTTTAAACATCCAGATTGCTAAACATCAAGCTCAAGCTTTTAAATTGCGGTTGAAACTGCATTACAATAACTGAAATTGTAGAAAACTACAGGACATAATTGCAATCTAGATGCGGAGCTTCCAAAATGACGACATTATAAGCCCCATTTCTGGTTGCGAACCGCAATTTAAAACCATGAGAAAAGAAGTTCAAAGGAAAACAGCAAATAAATAATAATACCCTATGATTTTCACTCCCAGAGTGGCCAAGAAACATGACACAAGCAGCATCAGGTATACAGGACTTCAAAACAAGCTCAGGTGCCTGACACATAGGATCAATGACAATGGCAGGCCAAAAGGGCTCCTTCTTCCTTGCCTTGGCCCACACTATATCCCCAGCATAAAAGTCTTCTGGTCCATACAACCCATCCTTCTTCTTCGTCTCCAAAACACCCTCATTGCCCCTCAACTCCACAAACCCCTTTCTGGCATCAAAATTCTTATGCAGCACCTCCTCACACAATGCAGAATACCCCCGACCCTTGTGACCGATATTGCTCTTCCCTTTTCTCTGTGGCAATTTCTTCACACTCTCAACCTCCTCATCATCATAGCCGGTAGCAATTTTGTTGCTATCCTTTCTCCAATCCTCAATTATCGAATCATTGAACCGCGACGGCAGCGCCTGAACCCGCCCCCGCGACGTTCGCACCAGCGCCGGCCGCGAACCGTTCTTCTTGTCACCTCTGTCTTCGTCGCCCTTGGAGTTCGGCTCCACTTTGCAGCTCTTCTCCGAAGCCGCGCCGGCGCCAAGTAAGCCGGAAAAACTAGCGGGAATTACCCCGGCGAAGAGATTCAAAGGGTAGCAATAACCATTCGTCTTTCTTTTCTTCTTCTTCCGCTCCGCCGCGGACTCGTCGCCCTCGCTCGGCGAGTCGCCGAGTCTGCGCCGTTTCAGACTCGGCATTTCGGATTTCAGGCTCCGCTTGATTATCATTATCGAAAGAAGGCACGATCAAATATTCGGGGTTGTAAATTTCACTCCCGAGAATCGAAACCGGAGACAGAACATAAACCCTAATTCTGAAAGGAATAGAATTCTTCCGCAAAACAGAGCAACAGGGGGAAGAGCGAAACCGGGACGCAAGTTGAAATCCGGAGCAAGGAAGCAAGAAGTGTTCGTAGAGAAAGAAGGAATTGAATTACGATAATGTCGGGAAGTTTCGATCAACGAGTCGAATGAAGCAGAGAAGAAAAGAGGGATCTGTTTTCGGCGAACTGAGGAGCGCTCTGAAGAGAAGTATTAAAAAAATACTTTTGTATGGAAAAAAATAAATTCCCAGATAAATTGCAATGAAATAGTATTTAAAGATAGAAAAAAATGAAGGAAAATCCAATAGGGGAAATTTTTTTAGGGAGGAAAAGTAGGAAAGGGTGACGACAGAGTAGGGCTAGGAGATAGAGAAAGAGAGGGAAGTTTCGGCGTTATCTTGAGCGAGTTAAATGTTTTATGCGCTTGTGTATAAATGAGTTCAATGGGAGTGCGTTACTTTGGCGTCACGTGTTGGCAGTGAGATTTGGTTCTTGCAAAGGAGTGAGTGAACCTGGTGAATGGCGATCGATGGTTCAGCAACATGGACCCGTGCCTGTGTCAGCGTTGCAATTGCAACATTGCAGGCTATAAGACACAGAAATATGGAATTAATAAGACCGCCATAATTTGTTCCCAAAAATATGGAGTCTTACTAATTTGTCACTTGCATGCGTGTGTGTTCATGGATGGTAAATGTCATCGTGTTCTTTTGTCATTATCTTCCCTTGCACCATTGTTGTATCCTAAAATTTGTGTTTCTTGTTAGGATTCCATTATTTTTAGCATGTTTTGAATTCTCCGGTGGCGGGGTTGCCAGATTTTTGGGTTGGGATGTAAATTTGCACTCCACGAGCATTTTTATTTTTTTGGGTGTTTGTTGTTTTATGTTAATTTGAAATGCTGTGGATTTGACCAGATTACGTTTTGAAATTCGATAATGGCTTGGTCCGAAAGTTTTGTTTGACAGAGCCTTCTCGTGTGCGGACGACGTGCAACAGTGCCTAGACCAGTCCCAAGCACATTTATTCAGAGTTAGTGAGCTTGAAGATTTTTTTTTTTTGTTGTTATTCATTGTGAAGTTTACCACTCACTAATTGGGTTTGCGATTTTGGAATTTGTTACGCTGTAATGGAAATTGAGCATGTGTTTGAATTGAAGAACAGCGTTGGCTAGTGGCTATTTGTCCGCGCGAAACATGAGTTTCGGTTCCCTACCCCACCCACCAATATATCTTTGCTATGTTTTATTTAATGGGTAGCTTTTTTGAGTCGGTGGCTGAAACGTATAAACTGATTTCAATAGAAATTACTCACTATTTCCGCAATTCACATCTCAATTTTATTTATTGTTTTCAATTTTTAATTTTGAATAATTTTTAAAGAGAGAAAGTCATCTCCCTCCGGGGCGGAAGGGCTGATTCCATTTCTAATAAATGAGTTAATAAAAATATACCCTTTGAGAAATTTGCAGGATTAAAGTGAAAGCCATGGAAGGACGAATCCAAAGCATTGATGAAGTCTCGTTTCTAAACCCTAGAAAGTAGGCATGTAAGGAGAATATACCCTTTGCGAACATCCAATTTCTTGCTAAATGGATAAGAATCTTATCCCAAAAAGGACTAGCATACGTACATGGGTTATTCAGTTCGAAAACTGCTCTAGAGGATTGATGGAAGATGAAAAGAAACCTGTTTAAAATCTATATAGGGGATAGATATAGGGGAGCAATTTAAAATAGACGATGTGGTCTCTGACTAATAGGGTGAGGTTTTGAAGGCAAATTGACATGTTATCGTGAATCAACAAAGCATGAGGTTGTAAGCACGTGGCAGTGGTGAAGGAGAAAGTCTGATTCAGAGGGCTTTATGAATACCAGTAGGTATAGGACCCACATAGTAACGGAGATCTAAGTATATCTGATTGATCCACCGGGAAATAGCATTAGAAATAACAACTATTTTGCTTCCAGTTTTTCACTACAGTGGATCTTAACTTTGCTTCAAATTCAGCAACACGATGGATATAATATTTGAGACATAAGATTTAGAATTGTGGGGATGCATTTTTCTTTTCTCTGTTCCCTGCAGACTAACAATTTATGTGTTATCTTTTTTTCTAGCATTTTTATTTTAGGATTCCATGACTGAGATGAGAGTCGTGTTAAACGATCCGATGTTGATAGTTAAATTGTTTAAACAAGACTTTATCTTCTAAGAAGGGTCTGGTTATGTCTTGAATGGTGCAACTGCTGAAAAGTAAAACAAAAGAGAAGCTTGGTCGTCCATGCGTACGAAATTTTAAGAACTTTCTTTATCGTGTGATTATCATAATGGATAAGATATCACTACGTCGTTTAAAACAATATTTATTAAATTTAAAATTGATTTCAATTTTCTATTTCTTTTAATCTCCACTATTAGAACCAAGATATAATGAGCAAAACACAACATAAGCAAAAACTACTAGAATCTCAGATTATGTTTATGATAAGTCAAATAAATTTTTCTGTGCTTTTTAAAATACCATAACGTCAAGTTGGAAACTTTAACCCAATGTCATTACAAACTCAAAAGAAGATAACCTTCTCACAAGAATTTGCTCGTGATTCTTGATACTGATTTAAAACTACTTCTCAATTAATAAAAGGAAATGGTGTGGAGCCACTAAAGATAAGAAATTAAGAAATTTTTATTACAAAAATAATAATATATTTCTCTCTCTTTCATTACTTCTACTTGAATCATTATTTATACATGTATGATTGTTAATATTAGAAAATTATGACTAAATCCTAAATAGAGTCTTACTGAAATTCTAATTTAATCCTGCTAATCAAATATGAATAAAATCTTAAATGCAATCTTAATAAAATATAAACAAAAGCCAACTAAATCCAAATCAAATCTTAATAAATTCTATAAATAGTATTTCTTGATTAAATTTAGATAAATCTTAATTTTAATCATATGATATATAAAAACCTATTTATATTTATAATAAAATATTGAATCTTCTCAAAACTCTTATTAAGTCTAAATCATAAAGTGATTTTTTACTCATTTTCTCCTTTCATTCTTATTTGATGATAATAATTTTTTAATTAATTTTTTTGAAAAATAATAGACTCAAGTAACTCATTTAATATTTTGTCTACTCTAAGAACAAGATGTTTATACTTTATTATGATATTGTTGATAGCCCTATATTTAGGACTTATTTTTCAAGAATCATCCTATTTTAATACAAGATATGTATTACACCTAGACTTATGTTTTTTTTATCTAACTATTTGCAAGCAAATCTTCAATCTGTTATTGAATCTCTTTTGTCTCCTTTGTGTTGGTCCTATAAGCTGCTAATTTGTTAAAACAGGAACTTAAGGTATAAAATTTATTTGATGCTCAATCGATTGGATTGGTGGTAATGCCCTAGGTTTCTCATCTTCGAACACATATAATAGGAAGGAAGAAAGAGTTGTAAGAATAGTGATAAAATTGTTAGTTAAAAATAGAAAAGACTTCACAATAATTCTTCATGTTTATGCACTCAAATAATGATCACACTCATATGTTTCACACTTATATTAACATTTTTTTTTCTTAATAATCACTTTAGTCTTTTATCTCTTAAAAGCTTCTCCTTTACTTCTTATTTTTAAACAAATTAAAACACTTAATCAAGCAAATAACCTAAAATGTGTTGACAGGATAGTTGAAAGGTTAGAACACCACAGGCTCAAGACAATTAAACACAATAAGAGTTCCTAAAAGAAGGATAAAATACAAACAATTGAAAGAAGAAATAGATAATAATTCAAAATTAAAAATATTACAATTAGAATTGGCTTAATAATTTTTTTGTGCTCTCTTGTTTTTAATATTTTTAATCATTGTCTTTCTTTTTCTTTTTTGCAAAACAGTGATGATTCCACATCATAAGTGGATTTTTAGGGTTAATTGTGAAGTAATTTGAAAGTGATGATTCCATATCATAAGTAGATTTGTATGGTTAATTGTGAAGTAATTTGAAAGAATGAAGAACTAAAAAAAATAAATAAGTGAATTTTTTAGAAAAAGGTACTTGAAAGGAAAATAATAAATTTGTGTGCATTTTCTAGCAAAATAAGTAATTATTTTTGTGTTTGATAATATAAACACTAAGAAGGAAGCACAATAGCAAGAAGAAAGTAGAATGTTGAGGTATGAGATCGTGAGAAAAAAGTAAACTTTTCTTTTGGAAGGTACTCGTGGGAATGTCCACTTTTAACTACGAACATTTTTACTTACAATTATTTGAACACTTTCGAAGGTGTGAATTGAGACATTCGATTTTTAATGTCTCAACGTTGGTTATCTACAAAATGCCTATAAATAAAGCATTTGTATCATTATTCATTTTTCACTTTTAAAATTTATTTTCTTACACTGGTTATGAGTTTCTTGTTTTAGATTGGAGGTCAAGATCATGGAAACAAAAGATTTAATGAACAATTCTTTTATTGTTAACATTTTTTATTTTCTCAGTTTTTCTTTCATTTTTCAACGTGTCCTAAATTTATTAGGTTGGAATATGATTGAATTTTGATTTAACCATATATAATTTTTTTTTTAATAATCGCAATTTATAGTTTTCTTATTCAATTGCATTATCTTCTTCTTTATTTAATGTTTTGTTGAATTGACTACTCAATTCCATGAATCAAGAGTTTATCACAATTAAAAAATTAGTGTAATTGTCAAAATTGAAGCGGATGACTCAATTAACCAACTGGGGATAGGGATTTAGAATTATGTAATCATTGTTAATTCTTGCATGTAATGCTTTTCTTAATTAAATACTAAGAAATTAAAAAAATTGACTAAGAATTAGGATAAAGTTATCAACAATTAGAGCTTAACTATCTTAATGAATTAGACCTTTAAATTGAGTTCAGAAAATAATTGTTAAGGGAAAAAAAATGATTTGTAGCCAATTCATTTATCGTGATGTACCTTTATCTTTGTATGTTTGCAGTATTTATTTCAAGTTTATTCTTCTAAATTGTTGTCTAACTCAAATTTTGATTTTAAACATCTAATTATTGCATAAATCACATCAAAACAATATTAAAAGATTGTTTCAATTAATAATTGTTGTGCTTTGTTAAACATTGATTTCAATCCTTAAAAATAATACTTTACTTTCTCTTTATCACTTGATATAATTCAATACACTTGTCAAACAACTTATTACATGAGAAAAAGAAAACCTAAATGAAGAAAATGATAAGATAAACATTATAATCAAATATGCATAAAGACAGGCTTTGATACTTGATAGTCTTGAATTAGCAGAAAATAATTCAACTTTGCAAGTGCACCAATGAAGATATCGTTTTCACGAAGATTGTATCCTAATTTTGCAATAGTTGTAGAACTTAGTAAATATTGAATGCAATTTGCATATTTAT